TATGACACACACTGACCACCAGGGGGCAGATGCTCCAACCGATAGGTTAGCTTGCTGCTGGGGTCCAGCTGATCAGGACTGGGTGAGAAGAGCCATACATGCCCTGGAGCCCTCCCATGGCCCCTCCCTGACCTGACCATGCACCAGTGGGGTCCTCGGCCTGGACTATGCCCTTTCGCAATCTGGGACCCCCTGGGGGATGTCAGCCAATTTCAGCCTGATCCCCAAGGGATCTCACTAGTGCACAAATCTATGCACTGGCCTCTAGTTTTATATACAGGACTTGAGCATCAGCAAGTTTTGGTATCCACAGGGATCCTGGAACTAACCCTCCCCACAGCTATCAAGGAATGGCTGTAATTATGATTTGGGGAAGTCAAAATTTACATGGAGATTTTCAACATGAGTCAATATCCCTGACCCTCACATTAGTCAAAGGCCAACTGTATGTAGTTAACTTTTAAAAAATCCATATTTTGCTATTCTTATTCATATATACCCCTCCTCCCAAGCACAGTTATCTATTTATTTTATATTGTATTTTTGTGGGAATATATTTTCACAAGCATTTAAATCCATGCGCTTGTATACAAACTAATGTTTTACCTCTATATAAACATAGACATATGTGTAGAATGACATTTATCTAAAATGAATAGTGCACAATTTTGTGGTTAGGAGATTTAATATAATAGCTATTATTTTTTTGTTTTATCTTGTATTCTTAAGTGCTTAAATTACCTCTGATGAGCATATACTCTTCAAATTTTTTTTTCCAGTAGAAAAACGTAAGAAATGAGAGATGTCCCTTTGCTTACTGAAATAATATAGATGTCAGACTTGTTTCTAAATGATTTATGTCATCAATATTTGATAGAACTGTAATTAAAGACAGCTGTGGCCTTGTACGACATGACGTGATGAGCTCTTCTCAGTTACAGATGACCAGATCATGATGCCCAGTCAGACCAGTCTTCTCCATATAGACTCAGCTTACCATGGACCATTGTGAAGATACCAACGTTGTCGTGTTTTCCAAAGTTGTAACTATGGTTGTTTCAGTAATTTGTCAAATAACAACTTTCTTCAATCTCTAGCTTAGAGGTCAGATAGTTTATCTTCATAAATATTGATGAGCCAGAACAGGTCATGTCCCAAGAATCAGCCCCCAAGGCAGGCCGCTCACATCTGCTCCTGTTCATTACAGCTCTGTCTCTCAGGATCCTGCTCTTCACATATGTCAATCATGCCAGTCTAGCCCAAGAAGTGAAAAGATACGTGTAGTAAATAGTCTTTGCTTTTATTTTTTCGTATGCTCCATTAAAAAAGATACAGTTTTATTAGTATTACATTAATAAACTTAAAGAACAAGGTGACAAGTTATTGCCACAGATATTAATTTATATCTACAAACATCCACCAAAACAATAAAAAAATGAAATAAATATATTTACATTTCATATTTCTGGTATTTCCTTTTATTTTCATATGTATAAAATATATAACATTTACAATATTTTATTTATCTTCCAAAGGAACGTCCAATGTGCAAAAAAATGAGTTATAATTTTAAAGTATGAAGGAATAAGAATAAATCATACATAACAGTTCTAGAGTGACAAAGTGATTCTTTAAGGAGAGCTCATGAGTATAGAAGTGTTAAGAGTGGCAAACTATTTGTTCTTAATATCAGAACATCTACACTTACCTTAAAAAAAAAGTAAAGCACAGGATTGTCCTTGTGCTTATAAAGTTCTCCACACTGCTGATTTCTAGCAGTAATTCTAAGTTTTTAAATCAGTCCTTTCCAGAATAACAAATTAAACTTTTCTCAAATCCAGCATTCAAAGTAGACAATGTCCTCAATGAGGGAAATGTCGATGTACAAATTAATGCTTTCTCTGCTTACATGGTTAATATGGACTTGACATTTATTTTCAAGTAATTACTTTTCTACTTGCTAGATGACAGTTCTGTGAGCAAAGGCTTTCAAACTATAAGTTGGTGTAAGCCTGGAAAATGGGCAATAAATTACTAGTTGATTATGCTCCCTTAAAAATAGTGTTGGATGATGTATGTTAGGCTACACATTATACTTACATTACCTATGAAAGTAGTTTTAAATAAATATTTGTTCCAATATAACAAATATAAAATGCCCCTGCTTCCAGTTACTTCAGCTTAAATTAATTGGTTGTTTTTTTTAATCAGGCAAAGTACATTATTATAGTAGTTAGCAAAATTGGAAATACTTGAACTCCCTAATCTGACCTTAGTATCTGTAATACAATATTCTCTTTGAGCTTGCACTATGTACAACTATAATGAACCTTTTAAAAGTGCGTATACACACACATGTATACATATAAACATATGTATATATGCATCATGTACACACACACATATACCAAGGCACTGGAGGGGTTAACACAAAATTAAACATTCTGCTGTCAAAATGTTCTCTAGTATAAACTAGGTTTTAATGTGAATACTTCCAATGCTTCTAAAACTCAATTACATGAGAAGTTGAGATTTATCTTAGTATTTTTCATATCTAAGCTCTCTCATTCAGTAATCCAAGTTATGACAAATGATAGTGGCTAATATTTTCACTGTAAAAGAAAATGTTACATACTACCTGCTAACAATTGAAAAGTAGAATAGTATTTTTAATAGGCGGCTGCTCCACCAATTATATAATGTAGTAATTTAGGCCTTTTTATCAATAGTATCAAAAATAAATGCAGTATTATCATAAATTTTAATTCAAGTTACCATTTACAATGCAAATTTAAAGATATTAAGCATATGTATTTGAAATATTCTTCATATAATCTGTGGTTAACATTTCATTATATATACATATGTATATACATATATATATGTTTGTGTGTGTGTGTGTGTGTGTTTGTAGCACGAGGAGATATATACCCATACATATCTCCTTTGTGCACCTTTTCCTTCATCATACACATAAGCACAGGCTAGAATAATTTTATGGTGTCACAAAAAAGGTACTTAAATAAACTGCCTTTTGTATATTTCAAATGGAGCTTTTAAAAATCTAGCATTCATTTTTTAATAATTACATTACCCTAACATAAAGTTTGACACGTTTCTCTTTTAGCTACCTTGCCCATTTCGTATTTCCATGAGATTAGATTATCACACTGATGACACACAGATGTCACCCCACGGTAACATCTAGTTAGTAGCAAAGATTCTGTAATGAACTGGCTGCTCTCTGCAGCTTCACCTCCCTCTAAGGTCGATGCCGCCCTCTGTTTTTCTCCGTAAGTTCAATAGTAGCCCGGGAAAGCCTGTCGTTGGTGGGCTTCTTATTTTGAATGACTGTTGTGTCTGATCGATAAATAATGAGTAGTATTTCCACAGCATTACCTTCCTTATGGATATATATTTAGTTTTGTGATCAGAATAAGTTATATTAATTATTGGTGAATTTTCCACAGTTCTTTTAATAATGTGTCCTAGGCCCAACTTAATACTTGCCCATGTATAATTATGAAACTTACCTTTTAAAAATAATTTAATGTGATTCAGAATTGATCAGATGAAAAGGAAAGTGAAAATCTATGATGACAGAAATAGTTGGATATTAAATTTTTAATTATGATGGTCGTGCCTTTTTACAAATTATTTTTCCCTCTTGAGTGATATTTTTCTCTTATTTAAAAAATAAATCAAACCACCTTATTAGATCCTTGGTCATTTTCATGTAGAAATAATCCAGTTTTGATTTAGTTGGGGACGTTGGTGTGAATTTTAAAAAGCATATTTTCCTTTTTTAATGGTCAGCTGGTTGTTTACAGGCAGGTCTCAGTACAGCTGGAGTGAAGGGTGGAAAATATTTCCCACATGATGCAAATCGTTATGTAAGATCTGGGATCTGAGTCATGTGTTACCCACCTCCTCCCCCCATGATTTCATATTTCCAGCCTCTTCACATCTACAGTCCTAAGAAAATATACCTGAAAGAATCCGCATTGTTTAGAATTATATAATAACCGGTGATGACATGGTAAGATAGAAGTTTAAATTTTTTAATTTTCAGATCTTACTTTATCATTAACTTTTCCTAAAAATGGGGAAAAAATTATTGAACGAACATGAACAATAGCTTTGAGACTGCTTTCTAGAAACATTTAGCTTACGATGAGCTAGGATTAGGATTACAAAGAATTGTTCCTTACACCACAGTTTTTTTTTTCTAGAAAATTTTGGGGTCGCTGAAAGTTTAGGAAACTTTAATTGGAAAATAAATTCCATTAGGTAAAACGTAAATCTCCTTCAGTGAAAGACAGAAGAAGATGTTCGGGAATGTCGCCTTCATTCATAATTAAATTAACACGGTTTGGCGTATTGGATTGGCTCTGGCCGTGAATAACACTTTCAGTATAAGTGCCCCAAGGAGGAAACAGTTCATCTCACAATGCGTCTATCACAGGTCAATGTGACTAGCTTTTTGCAATTCTTAAAAAAAAAAAACATTTTACAATAAGATGGAATCGGAGTGCCAGTGCCAAATCATGAAATGATAACACAAGGAGAAATCTACATCAGCAAATTAAAGTGAGTGTTTTTTTCCTTTGATGAGATTTATTCCCCCCCGCATGCTAGTATCCTTGCTGCCATAGGTTTTCTGCCTCCTTTCGGTCACTCGTGATGTAATCATAGGGCATTAGTTCGTGATCTGAACCAACATGTATTCTGTACACAAAATATCCTAAAATACAGAAGTAACCCTTCAATCGGTATCTTTATTTTATTTATAGAGAATTTACAATTTTTACATTACTTACACAATTCACATCGTTGCTTCTTTTCTCTCCACCTCTGATGAAAGCCGTCTACTGGTGACCAGTCAGCCGAGTGAAAGAACAAGCTGGTCTGTTCATGTCGGACTATGCGCCGCGGCCTCCGACAGAGAAATGCTTTGGATCCCCCTTTT